CGTGCCAGTTTTGATATTCCAGAGTATTTTTTAAGGAGGATGTGAATATTTTTTTGTGATTTGACGTCCCCAGAAAATTGATCTTTATCTAAGGAACCCCGACCCGGGACAGGTATATGTGACAAGTCATAGGCTTGAACAACCGGTAGCCTGCTAAAGTGTGTTTTCTGGGGCTGCTAATTGTAAAGGGAGAGATATTTGTAAATAGTTTAAAGGGGTGGTGTGCGTCTTTTCAGAGTACCGCAACTTAGCGCCTCTTTCAAGGCAGTAATGTATGTAGCTGTATTATGCCTGCATATTTGTGTAAAGGGTGCCAGGTTGGGGTGTGAACATTGTTGTAGCAGCTTATGGCCGAGAATGAATCATAAATGATCTATTAGGGGCTATGTGTTTTCGGAGTGTTATGAAAAATAAAGAATCGTGTGTGTTTCTGTTTTTAACCTGGTACAATCAACTGTTGATCTTACATGAGGGCGCCTGGGTCCTGGTTTCTACTATTTGGTGGATACTGGTCAGGGTTGTCTCTACAGGTAGCCGTTAGAATGGGACAAGACCAAACGCTGGCTCTAGATGTAGGCGCCTTTTGCCCACTGTTTTTCACTGCCGCGCCCTGCAGGGTTTCCTCCTCATCACACTTGAAAAAGGCCGAGCAGTATCCCCTCAAGTTGGGTTGCAAGATTGGCCACTAAAACCTTTCACGACAACTGGTCTCATTTAAAGACTTTTAGCATTAGCATTATTGTACACCTTAGCTAAGTTACAAGCCAATAAAGTCTGGCAGCGGCACAGGTCATCAATGTAAGGCCAACCAAGAATCCCAGAAATTAGAAGCTGGTTTTTTTTTTTTTTTGGTAATACTGGTTTTGAAGGGAGCTGGTAGCAACCCCAGCTAACAAAGGTGGGGTTGGGGGTTCAGAATAGCTGCAGGGTGGGTGATATTAGGTATTAAAAATACTTTCTGGTTACCACAGTAAGTATAACACTCCTTAGGTTCAGAATGCATCTTGGGCTTAGCAGCATCCCGTGACATCATTCTTGCCAAACAACTTTACAAAGTTCCGAAGGCTCAGCGTGTGGTATCAGCACGCACAGGTGGAGTCCCAGAGAATCTTACCTCACAGAGCAAAAGCTAACATACACAGAGCAGGCAATACACTGCTGCGAATCACATAAGAGCCTGTTCAACGTTACACGTGTGGAAGATGTTCGTTAGTTGGGCTGCTTCTTTGGATCATTCGCTTCACGAAATCCCACCACGTCTCCATCCGTGCACCGTTCACCGCACGGCCTTGCATATTACAGAAAATCTACTGACCGTTCACTATCTGTACATCGTCACTGTCGCTTAGGCTCACACAAAACTGTCCCCTCCAAACGCCTGAACCCCTTATCCCCTCTCTCCCTTAGTAAGGCTGCGTTGGTATGGGAATGTAAAGTCTTATGCGAGGCTGAATTTCCCTGATCAGTCTGGTGGTGATGCACAAGTACGGGGGGGGGGGGGGGAAGTGAAGATCCCAGCACAGATTTCATCTCCCAGTCAGTCCTCAGGCGTGGAGCCTCTGAGTCAGCGTCTGAGTGTAAAAGTGTGCATATGCAGAGCGGTCGGACAGCACTGAGGTCAGATCTCTATGTCCACTGGCCTGATCTCTCCAGTCTTATTCTCCCGCACCCACAGCTCTCTGTCTTTGGCCGGGTCCACGCACTGCAGGAGCTGGTCCACCGGCTCCATCGTCTGGACAGAGAGAGAACAGCAGTCAGTTGAAGCATCACAATAAATGTCTTCGCTTGCCTCAGCTCAGGTCATACCTAATGTTTCCATTGCTCTGAGGGCTTGTAGAGTGGCTCCCTCTTCTGGTGTAGGTGGAGTAATAATGGGATTGATTCTCAAATTGTACCATGAGGGTAATTTGGTTGCTTTTAACAACCTGTTCTTTCCTCTGGGATCAATAAAGTCTTACCTTAATGCCTAGCTATACTTTTAGTTAGGCCAAGGTCTGTACTTGGTAAAAGAAATGTTCCTTGGCTTTTACTTCTACTTGTAAACTTTAAAACATTTTGACTAGACCTCCTAGACCTCTTAGGATCCTAGATGTCTGCAGTACATTGCTGTCAGTCCAACATGGCGACGTGGGTTGTGTTCAAATGAACCACATATGCATTGCTTCTCAGACACTCAAGAGTGAGTGTCACTAAAGAAAGAGCAGCTGTTAGTTTTAACCGTGAGCTGAGGTCGTACTCACACTTTGGTTGAACATGTCCGTCTCGTGCCGAAGGGTGGTGTACTGACACAGATGCTGTCTGATCATCTCCACCCGCTCCAGCTCCAGCCGCTCCAGTTCCTGAGGAGAGGAGCAGTTTGTAAAGCCTGAGTCACAGAGAGCCCTCTACTCCTCAATCTGTCTACACTGAGCCGAAACAGCAGCAGCTCTACAGTGTAACAGGGACTTGTGTAAGCGCTGCAGGCTCTAGACATGAAACAGACTTCTTTGAAATGAAAGAAGTTGAAAAGACGAAAGGACTTTGTCTTCAATTCAGAGGGAGCTCTGATGCTTTGCTTTTGGGAATATATACTGAAAATAAATATTTGACAACAAAACATATCAGTTGTAATATAAATACAAATGGACACACAAATTTAGAGCTTTTGTACAGAACTGAAAAGAAAAATAAACTTAAGGAAATAAATAACTTCTGTTATGAATTG